AATTTATTAGCAGACCAAATGTCATAATCAGTAGTTGCAACTTGCCTTGCCAGCTGAAAATGAAGGCGTGTTCGACAGCGATTTTTCTTATATTTTTCATTGATAAAAACACTTCAAATTTGAGATATGTATTACTAATACAAATAAGTGAGCTATGAATTGATCAAATTCTGCGTAATCATGTGTGAAATTGGCTAAATAATGAGAGTATTCAAAATATGCATACATGAAATTTCTATGTAAAAGCATTCGTGCCTACAATCTAGAATCCTGTGGATTGGTATCGTCATTGATGTGCAAGTGGTCAAGTTGATACAAACCCGTTTTGAGAGAATTTGTGTTGAGCTAGGCGCAATGTGATTCATAACCGTTATGTACTTAATTGTTTTAAATTCTGCTAGCGGACTAGGATTATAAAATTCCAAACTCAAATACTAATCAATTATTTCTAGATCATTGGCCTTAAAAGAGGCCATGATTAGCATGGAAATATTTATTAGGTCCTGTTTCAATGAAGTTTTTAAATGAAAGGGGCATTGCCACATTATTCCTTTCATTTCCACATTATTGAACATAAATTACGTATGCTGCACACGCAATAGTCAAAAAAGAACAGAGGAGAGACATATGATATTGGACATGTTATTAGATATTCAAGTACCGTGTTTAATTTCAATTATCTATTGTTCAAATGTATCACTGCATATTATATTCCTTTCATTACGGGACAATGTGCATTCGCATGCACTACATCAAGCTACGAGGGCTTATTAAAAAGAAAATGATGAAACGCTTCCAAAGTCTAAAGATGAATAAGAAGTCTAGTTTTGTCAGGTATCTCAAAGATGGCAACGAGGGTGATTAAATAGAAAATGAAATGATTACATTGTTGAGCAACAAAAATGAGAAAAAAGTCTAATTTTCTGTCTTATTATCCAACAAAAATTGATTGCTAATCTGGTCCACCATGCATGCCTTTGCTTAGCACCCTCCCCCAACAAAAAAGTAGTTACATGCAGACAATATCATAAATTGGAAGCTATAAGATAAATACAATTGCTTTGGTGGAATCTAACTTCAGCACTAGCAGAATAGGAATTTCAAGTTTAAACCAACGAGTGTCATGATGCCTAGTAGCTCATTGAGATTCTCAAGAAAGTTTATTATTTCTTGTTGGAATTATGGATTTGTATGAACAACTCTCGTGTTTGAATGAATAAAGTAAAAATCATTGTGTCTTATAGTTAGCTTTATGCTCACTGCTTTAATTAGCTGGGTTAATAAACTTTCTCCTAAAGGACCAAAATCTGGGGCTTATCACTTCAAAAATCTAGCAAACATGACTAAAATTTAACCAACAAAAGCAGAAAGAAACTAAAATAAATAAGGTATATGTTAAGGAGTGTGTTAGGTATATTAATTAGGGAAAAAAATATAAAATATTAAAAATATTATTAATATATTTCTTTTGGTAATTTCCAATGTATCTTAATATAATTTTTAATAAAATGTTTTATTTTTAATGAGTTTATCTAAATTATATCATGAAAAAATTAATTCTATTTTGAATAAATTAATGAAATTTTATCTATAAAAAATTGATATATGTTAATTTTATTAACCTATCCAATTTATTGGATACAGTAACAAAAGAGAAACCGACTTTGAATTCCTTAAGACTCATTGACAAAACTGTAACCTAACTGCTATCATATCAGTACTCAGATAGAGAAGCAAAAGCATTATCTTTGTCTTTCTCTTGCATCTTTTTTTTTTCTTTTGTCAGCATGCGCTTCTTTAATTCTAACGGTAGTTTTCTTAAATTTGAACGACCAAATTGTCTAAAACCTTATGCTTTCTGTGGTACGAGGGTTTTGAGTGAAAAGAAAGAGATGACAAAGGACAATTCTTATAGCCCAAGTGAAAAGAATGGAGAAACAATCCCATGGGCACACATTTAAATAATATACACATATATATATATACTTCATTTTAATATTATTTTTAATCAAAATTTATTTTATTAAAATGAAACCATTTAGACTTCATTTTATAAATGTTGATTCGATTACATATTTAAATAAATTATAAATGAAAACATTTTAATTATTAACTTTTTTATCATCTTTTCCATAAACTTTTATATTTCACGTTTTAATATGCGATATTATATATTTTGGATTTTATTTTCCTTCTTTTTCTTTAATTGAAAGAAAGAAAAGTTACCAAATATACGGCTTGGCACTACCAACCAAAAAAGTATTTTCTCTTTTTTAATAAATTTATATGATATAAACTATAAATTTTGAAACACAAATTGTAGAATAGATAATTTACTTTTATATTACTATTGTTTTTGCCAATTCAACAGTCAGCTAATGTTATCAGCTCCTGGTTGTATCCCACTATTTTGAGCATTAATATCCTTTAAAATTTCTAATTTGAATGTAATTCATTGAATATTAATCAGGTTCCTCAGTTTTTAAAATTTCAGAGACTTTATTCTTATAGTTTTGCTGTTAATATAAGGAAAAATCCTATCATGTCCTTAAGGGCCTTGTGAATAAGAAGTTTCATAACAATATATGGTTAAATAAAGGTGTTCAGGAGAAATGAACTCAAGTTATTAATTTGCTTGAAAAGAATTGATAAAAAAAAGGGAATGATAGGTTTTTATTCGAAAAATGTTGCTCAAAAGATAAATCGATTTAACATTTCTTCCCAAAAAATTATACGTTGAGTTCATTGATTTTGTGGTCTTAATTTTTAGTCAAAATAGATATTTTGATAAAATTTTGCATAACATAAATTTAGTAAAATTTTAATCAAAAGTGACTTTTTCAATAAAATTTTAGATAAATTATAACAAAGAAAAAATATATTTTTTTAGTTAAATTAAAAATATTTTAACAAATTTCATAAGAAATTGGTGGTTTAAGAAACATGAATTTTTAGTTGAAAAGAAAGTGACTGTTTTGACAAATTTTTATGAGACATTGATTTTTAATTGAGAAGGAAATGACTTTTTTTATGAGTTTTTGAGTAAGTTATAGTCGAAGCGAATAGACATAAGTTTTATTTAAAATGAGATATTTTTTACTAATTGTGACTAGAGAAATGTTGTTTGTTAGTAAAAAAATGATATTTCAACAAATTTTGGTAGATTTATGAATGATTTATAAATAAAATTATAAATATACAAATTGTCAAAAGTTAGTCAAAAAATAATATTTCAAGATCCTTTTAGAAAATATTATCTTTGTAAACTTTAGTAAAAAAAATAATCAAGTACTATTTTGTAAAAATTAGATCAAATTATTTCTAAATAAAAAATCTCAAATATAAAGATTTTAAAAAAATAAAAAATTTGTGTCAAAATGCAATGCAATAGAAGCAATTATAAATAAAGAAAAGTAACAATATATGGTATATGATAGTATTAATAAAAAATTATTTTTTAGGCAATTATATTTATGATACATATAAATAGAATTTTAAAACATAGTTTACTTCTATACTAAAAACACTGATAGTTAATAAAATTTCTGTATTGTCAACGTTCTATATTGGTTAGACTTGACTATCAAGGGATCTAACAGTTTTTAATTGTTAAAGTTGTACCATTGATAGTTTATTTATTGAAATTCAATTTCAATTTTATTATTTTTTTTATAATCTTTTACCACTTTATGTTAAGATTATTTTGTAATTTCTTTTTTTTTGAATTTATTTATTTACTGAAAAATTCATTATTAATAAAAAGATAAATAATATTTTGCATTTTGTCCCTTACACCTAAAAAACAAGTAATTTGGTTGCATTAAATTAATAACTTATTTTTGAAGTAACTTTATTTGATTTAATTAAGAGAAGGACTCAAATTACTTATTTTTTATATATATTTTATTTTCTGTCGCTTTACTAAAGAATAAAACGCTTCAATAAAAAAAAACCTAACAAATAAGAGAGAAAAAAATATTTTTTTAATTGTATATCATTTTTTGATTTAAATAATAAAAAATAGATTATATTCATTTCTTGATAATTAAAATGTTTTTACTTAAATAAAATTCAGAACTTTTTTCTTCGCCGGAGCCTTGTTCATCCTCCGCTATCTTTTTCCTCCTCTAAACCAAACAAGCATTATTTACTAACAATAACTTAATTGCTTTCCACGAAACATTATTATCATCTCATTACCAAAACAATTGCTTACCAAAAGTCTGCTTAGGATACGTTTGGGTAAATTTTTTGAGAAATTTTTATTTGAAAAAAGCAGTAGAAAAAAATAAATATAATTTTTATAAATTAAAATTAATTTATATTTCTTTATTTTTAAAAAAATTAAAATTTTTATTTTTTTTTTCACAAGGAATTGTGTACGACTTCACTAAAACGGGGCCTTAATCCGAGTGAGAGAAGGAAACGAATCCTCTTCAACAAAAATCAATCCCTTAAAACAGTTAAATAAATAAATAAATAAGAGAAAACATTAATGCATGTGAGATTATGACATATGAAATCACACAATTAACCAACTCTCAAACTCACTATATATAGAGTATGGAAGAATGTCAATGGGTAAATTCATTTTTTTATTTAGTTTTATAAAAACTTTATTTTTATTTTTTAAACAAAATAATAATAAAAAATAAAATAGTTAATTAAAATGAATATTTATTCAATGTAGAATAGAGGAAAGGATAATTGATTTATATATATAAATTAGGAGTACTTATTCTTAAATTTGAATATTTTTTAAAAATATTTTTGAAATAAAAAATTTAAAAATTAATTTTTTTATATTATATGTTGAACTTTTTAATTTAACATTGATTGAATGTAGAATGAAGGAAAACAAAAATTAATGTAAAAGAAAGGGTAGGTACTCCTGCAGAGGGCAAAGGCGGCTTCTTCAAATGACTAGACAGTGTTTTCACTCAAAGTCAATCTTTCCCACTCTGTCATCCTCTTTCCTCTGTCCTTCCCCTCTCTCTCTCACTCTTCCCAAAGTCACAAATTTTTCTTCCCCTATATATTGCATCCCCACATTCCAACCGACACCCATTTTCCACTCTCACGAATCGGTTTCACACTCTCAGTGAAAGCGAAACAGAACACAGAAACTAAGATGGAGGTGGAAGTGGTGTTACCAATGGCTGCTCCGGTCGACTTCAACTTCGACAGCAATTGTTCCTCTCCATACATCACCGCTCCTTCAAGCCCTCAACGCTTTGGCAACTTCTTCTTCAGTGCCCCCACCAGCCCCACACGTGGCGCTTCCTCCTTCTTCAACGACTTTCCCTCTTCCCCGGTTTCCTCTGTTCCTTTTCACTGGGAACAAAAACCTGGTGTCCCCAAATCCAATGCAAATGACGATGATTTCGAGTTTAATTTCAGTGGCCACCTCGATAGACCTTCTCTCTCCGCCGATGAACTCTTCGATGGCGGAAAGATCCGTCCCCTAAAACCACCGCCGCGGCTGCAATCCCCTGAATCTCTTTCCCCGGCGACATCTCCTAGATCAAAAATATCGCAGGGGAAGAAAACGGGTCAGAGAGACTTGGACTTCGACCCATTTACAGCAGCAATGAAAGAAACTCGGAGAAGAGAAGAGAAAGAAGAGGAAGCGAAAGAAGAAAAGAGAGGGAGAGAAAGGGTTTCGGGTTCTGGTCGTAAAGGAAGTAGGTCGTTGTCCCCTTTGAGGATCTCCGACATAGTGTGTGACGCCGAGGACAAAGGTGTTTCTTCCTCCTCAAGCAACCCCAAACCCTTCTTCTTGTCTTCGATTCCTTTCACCAAAGGGTACCGTAAATGGAGGCTCAGGGATTTTCTTCTCTTCCGTAGTGCTTCCGAGGGAAGAGCCACCGACAAGGACCCTCTTAGGAAATACGTTGTTTTGTCCAAAAAGGGTGTGGACGAGGATGTTCGTAACGCCAGCTTCCGGTCCACGGAGAGTTCCGGTTCTGCGTCAAGACGGCGTGGTCCTGTCTCGGCCCATGAACTGCATTACACGGTGAACCGGGCTGCTTCTGAGGAGATGAAGAAGAAAACTTTCTTGCCTTATAAGCAGGGTTTGTTGGGCTGCTTGGGCTTTAACCCTGGCATGCATCACATTTCTAAGGGAATTGGCTCTTTGACACGTTCATAAACCGTAATCCAGATATCTCATTTGGATCTTGTTCTCTTCTCCACCTTTTATTTTTCTTTTGGGGTTTGTGGTTAATTAGCTTTGATACTGCGGCCACATATGTTCTTCTCATTTTCATATTGTTGTCTCTCCATATACACACAAAAGAGACTGAAATTTATATGAAAATAATTGTACCATTTACATGAACATATATGATACATTACGTACACATGGCTACACGTATTTTGCTTTGCTATTTCATATTTTGAAGAATACCATGTTAGCTATTTGATTAGTGAGGATTGAGTGTGTTTTAAGATGTTTGCGTGTGTTAGTACGCTTGTTTTCGGAAGGAGAGAAGAGGTACTGTTTAGATACCAGGGAGTTAGTGCAGTTTCGTGTGGGTTATGTTCTGAATCATAAGGGAGCCTTGTCTCCAAGTTCATGAAGCTGAGCTATTACCCTGAATAATTCCAGTACTGTTGGTGGATTGCTGGTTGGGTGAAAGGTAGGAGAATGATAACAGAACATGCTTAGCTAAGAGAATCAAGAAAAATCATCAAAAGTATGAGCATGACATAAGAAAAGGAGGAGGCTTTTGGTCCATTAATAATCATTAGGCTATGGAAACATGATGGCGACGGTGTTGTCCAGTGTGTAAAATGTGTGCTGTTGAAATGGGCACCCACAATGAAATTAAAGGGACAACAAAACAAAAGGATTTTAAGATACCAAACCTGTGATTATTTGTCGATCATCACAAACTGCAATGATGACCGATTGACAACATTCCTGTAATTAGAATTAGAAAGCCTGATTTTGTGGCGTGTCTCGAATATACCCTCCAACTCCTTTCTCCCCCACACGATTCTACTCGATATATTATGCATAGATAAAATCATGCAATACAAAAGGTGATGTCACTTTGGCAGTTAACTTCCGTTCAGAAACGATAATATTAAGTGATTTTACTGGAGGCTAAGGCTAATCTTAGGGAAATTATTTTATATAATTTCGGGGGATATTTAGTATTTTTTTTTTTTAAGATATGTGTATATAAAAAAAAATATTAACATGGTTGAACATATAAAATGTAAAATCCAGGAAAGCAAGTCAGAAACATGCAAGAAATTTCTTCCGACCATTAAGCAGTTCTAAAACTTGTGACATTAACATGATCTGTGTACCGTATGACCAATGTCCCACGTGAGCTGCTCCCAGCTGAGTCCTAGCCTTAGCATACTAATAAACTAGTAATTTTTACATGAGCATAAAACTAATAATTTTTTTATATTGCACGAATATTATTAAATTGAATAATTTTTAAAATCAATAATTTAAAATATGTTACATAACTATTTTTAAATTCAATAAATATTATAATAGTTTGTAATAAATATGTTATTATATTATATAAAATTAAAATGAATTGTGAAAACACATTTATATAATATTAAGTTAAAATAAATAAATAATACATAAAATACAAAAACTATTTAACATGACAAAAGATAATTTTTAAGAATATTTTTATAACAAATAAATATTCACATTTTGTTTTGTATATACATAGAGGATGATTAGCTAAAACAGAGCACACCGTGCAAAACGTTGTAAATGATCTACCAGGTTTTAAAATAACTACTCAAGTAAATAACTTAAACAAACTCATAATTAAAGTAAAATTCCAAGTACTTACATGCCCAAGCTTTAAAACTTTTGAGGGGGTGGAGGTGGGGATGTGCTTACATATTAGAAATATGTGATTATTCATGTATGGTACTTAACAATTCATTCCGAGTTCATTTTAAAAATTCAATGATGAAGTACGTTATTACCACAGTTGAGTTGAAAAATCAATATAGCATGCTGTAATGAGTAGATTCGATCATAAGATATTTTCCATCAAAAGGGAGAAAAGAAAAGGACAGAGGTCGGTTTCTATACATGCATGCATGTTCATGTGGTTACGCAGTGCTTTAAGAGAAAAGAAAAAGAAAAGAAAGCAAATGTTTTTAGGAAAAAGAATGTGAGAGACGACCAGCCACTGAGCCAAGCCATGCATGCAAAGGTCTTTATATAAAGGGAACTTCTGTCCATTGAAGGGGAAACCCATATGATTATGAAGCTCCGTAATATGTTATCTACTTCCCTTTTTCACGTCTAATTTATTATTTGCCACTTTGAAGTGTACAATATATACAAGATACATAATATCGGAGCAAAAGTGACCATAACGCATCGTATGACACGTTACTGCTGAACATTTATGCTCATTTTCTTTGCTGGTTGGCAATAGTACAACAATAATACTGACACTACGGTGAATTGTACTGCGCCTATAATTAATTTATAGAGTTGAAAAATATTATCGGAGCGGGTAAAAGGAACTCGTTAGCTAATTCATCATCAAAATCGATTTGACTTTCATTCAGTCGCAAGATTATGACTAGCGCGCACTATACTCGTTTACAAGAAATTCTTTCATCGTTTCGTTAATTTGCTTGAACTATTATATAACTCAAGGCACTAGCTTGGCGTGAGAAAAAAAATGAGAAGTTAACATATCAGTAAATTACACTTTTCTCTTTTATAATGTTATACTTTTCAATTTATTTCGTGATTCTTTTTATCACTAAATATACGTGAAGTTTAGGTTAAAATAAAAAATGTTATACAGTTAAATTTTTGACTAATAAATCTAAAATCGTAATTAAGCAAAGTTAACAGAGTTTTGATAACTTTTGCTTTAAACTAAATTTCAAGCGATGAACAAGTTTAGGAGATTAAAACTATATATAAAGAGGTAAGGTATAGCAAAGCCGTTAAGAGAGACATTTATACTATTCGACCGTATTATAAGTAAGACCATGTTTTATAAAAATAAGTAAATAAAGGGGAAAAAAAAGAGAGGGTAGCAACAGACTTAGCCAAAGTAACAGAATTATGGATGATTAGTATATAACAATTTTAACCTCTTTTACTAGTGATCCAGAGTTTACATAAAATACAAACAGTATTAAAAGGTCAATTTTTTTTAATCGAAGGTTTATAATTTTGTTCGTTAAAAATTGTAGTGTCTATTTTTGTAATTTTATCCAGTTAAATATTATAAATAATAAATTTATAGTAAACATTTGTAAATGTATGCTAGATGTGTTAAATTAAGTTAAAGTTGTGTGTTTTTTTTAGGTAAATGTTTATAGAAATAATGAATTCAGATGACTCGTTTGTTTGCTTCCAATAGTTACACTAACACTTACATATTAAAAAAAAGTAGACGCAAATTTATTTAATTTAAAAAATATATATTTATATATATATATATGTGTGATTTATTTATTTTAAAATGTCATCGGAAAACCATTGTTATGATATTCTATTTTTTATATATTTCTTTTACATTCTTTAAAACATGTAATAAAATAATGAGTAATTAATAAGTGATTTTTATGGATTTTATCGTTATTTTTTTATTTTAAAAATCAAAATAAATACTTTGAAAATATAAAGGAATTTAGAGTGTATATAATTAAGATTTGATATGAAACAAGAAATTATAATATCAAAAAGTTTAAAAGTAATTCAAAATTAAAATTTGATAATAAAGGAAAATTCAATGTTTAAATGAAATATTAACACAAATTGGAAAAGATAATTATTTGAGAAAAAATAATTATATGTTAATTATTTTCTAAAATCAACCATTCTCTTATGTTATATTTCTATTTCGTGGTAATATTTATCTTTTCCATACATTATTGTAGGAATGAGTAGATTTATTTTATTTTTGCTGTGTTATTGTGTTTATGAAAACATGTGCCAAGGCCCTTAGAAACAAAAACTACAAATTTGTGTTACTAAATGCATTTGATGTAAATATATACTGAAAGGGCCACGTTGACAGCAGCTGCAGTTGGCAGGTTAATCTTATTTGCATGATCCTCCCTTCACTGATAGTTTAATTTTGCAATCAGTTAGCGATTTGTATGTTTCAGGTGTTTGAATTTATGTTATCCGACTATAGACCCTAAAGAAGAAGGAGGAGAAGAAGAAGAAGAGAATAGATATATTTGTATTGCATACCAGTATCATAGTTTTATATAATAATAATGGTTTTAGTCTATTATTTGTTTGACTGAATGGATCTTTGACTTTACCTTTTAGAGTACTGCCAGTCAAAATTGCTAAATTTTGAACAAATCTAGCTGTGCATTCTGCATATGTATGTTTATTTCTCTTTATAAATCAAATTATTAATGATTTAGAACAAAAGCATCTAAATATTATATAATTTGATTCATTTCAAACCTATTCATTTTTAGTTAGTGATATTAACAGTGGTCACAATTATTGGTTTTTAAAATATGTTAAATTAAGAATTTGCATGGGCAACTTAGATTCTTACCCACTATGGTGACATGTATTTATTTATTCATTTTAATCAATGAAATTGTAGTAAAGTGCATAATTTTAGAAGTTTGTGAATTATTCTGTACATTTTGAAAGTAACTTAACAAAGCATATATAAGACAAGATATAGGAATGGTTTACAGTCTTCCCTTCTTAAAATAAAATAAAATAAATACAAGCAAAAAATCAAAAGTTTTATACTGCTGTGAAAAAATTATAATATAGTATACAATTCGAATGAATGTGAGCAAAGTGTTTATTTTTTTTACCATCTTTTATTATATTTATTATGTTTAAAATAATATATTATTAATATTTCTGTAATTAAAACACTCATGATTGAAAATACAGTTTTTATTTTAAAAAATTAAACTGAAGAATTTAAATTTATAAAATATGTATAATATTATATCATAGTTTTACACGTATGGCCTGTGCTACTAACTACAAGTAGTTTACATAATAAAGGGTCACTTGAGAAACGTGGTCCTACGGAGACAAGCGTCACTATCAGCCGAAATTATTGACTCATCATCATTTTAAATTTAGAAATTAATGTAGATGACAAGTCGTGGCACATGCACATTTTTATTTGTTTTGCTGTTTTAAAACAATAAATGTAAAACAAACGTGAATTGAAAAGCATCAATAAGTTCCTTTTAAAACTAATGTAAGCCATTGTTGAACAAATTTCAAGTTAATTAAACGTCTGGTGATTACTATTATTTTTTTTTTTATAAGCAAACGTTTTATTGTTTTGTCAGTTATTTTTAATTTCCTAATATGTAAAAAGGAAAATATGCACTTACTCCAAAAATAAGTCTTGAATGACTTATTTCACTTAATAATATTTTTAGACATTAAAATTTTCAATATAACAGTTGAATTAATAGTTTATAAAATTTTATATCACTTAAAAATTATTTAATATTTTATCAAACAATTTTATATTAACATACAAAATGCTTTATAGAATATAAGAAAATATCAATAATAAAATTATATGTCCATGAATGTTCAATTTATTTAAAATTTAATAAATATGATAATCAAACTAATATTACATAATTTAATAATTAAATTAATGATATTTAATTTATAAAACATTATTAAATAAAGAAAGTAATGAAGACTTATTTTTAGGAGAGAATAATTTAAATATGGTATATGATATGTAATTGTTCAGAAACATGGTGTTTTTTTTTTTTAAAAAAATTACCTACACATAATGTTTTAAAAATTGTCAAAGGCGATATTTTCATGAACAATTGTTGTTGTAAAATGCTCATGTTAGACTTTCACACATTTTTTTTTATCTTTGCAAAAGATGTTAAATGGTGATTTTTTGTTTAGGAAATTTTTGCATGCACTAGTCTTGTTGTTACTGATCTCTGAAGGTCAAATCTTGTCACTCTAAAGCTAAGTGAAATTACTAATAACAATGGCAACCTTTGATAATGATAGACATGCAATGTAAATCATAGAATTGTTTCTTGTTACATCAATTTTTGTACCTTTCTGTCTAACACTATTTTTAGATTTGCTTCTTGTACCTTATTATTTTCTTGATAAACGTTAATTGAAATTTCTTTTGAAAACAACATAAGTTTTAATGAGAGAAGTTAAAAGGATGACCGTGCTAATATATTTATAATATATATTAAATATCATTATTATTAGTTATTAAAATTGTATGATATTATATGAAACTTTCAAATATCAAAATTAGACAACAATACGTAATATTTTCTATTATTTTTAGAAATTAAACTATAAAATATTAATTAAGTATTTAATTCTTCAAACGATATTGCATGAAATATATATATATATATATATATATATATATATATATATTACATGTAAATGTTACACCTTCACACATGTTTGTAAAAATTTTATTATTAAAATATATTACTATTATTACACTCATTTTTTTTTTCTTAAAACACAAATGAATAGAACTAAAAAATGATTCTAAAAATTTTACTTACAATTTACTATCAACAAGAAATACAATTTTTATAGCTTTAACAATAAAAAATTGTCAAAAAAGATAATTTTTTTTAAAACACCGATGACGATTTTATATTACCTATGACATTTTTTTTAATTATTTAATAGGGTAAAAGGTAGCTAACAAGTACTTTTAATTGTTAGAAAATATTTTTTCTATAGTTGTTAATGACAATTTTTGATTGGCATAAATAATTTTTAGTAAATTAAAAAAATCATTAAAGAAACTTATTTTAAAATAGTATATTTGTTTCTCTATAAATAATATTATTATATGTGATGCAACAGTAATCGATGGAATATTTAAGGCAATCGAATATAAAAGTTATTTTTTTTATATATATTTCAGTTTGCAAAATTCAATTAGAATTATATATTTATTGAGTACAAAGGGTAGTCAAATAGAGTTCTGCTGTACACCCCTGTTCCTAACCAACTCAAGTGAATCACAAACCAAATATCCAATTCCCTGACCTACAAAACCGAGTTAATATGTACTTGGCATTCTACATAAGAAATCCAAACTGAATAGAGAATTAACCGCAGATAACCTACTTTGTAATAACCCAAGCACAATAGTTGCAAAAATTTTAGTACAAATGATTTTATACTCTAACTACAACTTACGGGAGAAAGTTGAAAATGATGCCATTCATTTAATGGGAAATTATCATAATAGTCAATATAGCATTGGAAATCATAGGGGTTATTGTTGTTTTGGAAACATTAAGGTATTAGGAAATAGTTTCATTTTATTTTGTTTTAAAGTAAATACAGGTAATCAAATTCTCTAACAAATACATTCCCAGTCAATTTTATTTTATTTCACATTGTTACCTCCAAAATATTATTATATTTACATGGATTTTACTAGTCAGGACTTATTATGTAGTATCATAATAGACCAACCTTCAATAGGATTTTTTATTATGAAGGAAGTCGTCATAATTTGTGTATGGGAATGCAAAAAGTAAGAAAATAATGCATTAGATTAATTGTGAAAATTATATAAAATAAATTTGGGTCAATTAAGTTTGGGAGGCTATGAAGATCCATAAGAATTTAAAGTGGGGTGCAGTTGAGAGAAGAAGCGACCAAGTTCGACCTGAGAGTGAGAGGTATACATTTCATGTGTTTGATTTGATGTCAAGTAAGTGCACTTAAATCTCTTCAAAAATCAAAGGAATTTTTTTATTTTTACAATTAAATTAGGGCAACTTTAAATTCTTTTTGTTTAATTTTGAGAGAATTCTTTTAAAATACGTATGACAAAATAAAAAAGTATTTAAAAATAGAAATAGTTATATATAAAAATTATCTTTTAAATATTAAATAAGATAATTGAAATTCAAAACCCTTTTGGAAGCAGAGCAGAGATAATTCTCAGATGAGAGAGAGACATAGAACTAGCTTGCTTTCTTTTTTTCTCGTCAAGAACGGACGGTTATGTGCTTTTTTGTTCCACAGGATGCGTTAAAAGGGCCTATTTTAATGAAACCTTGGGCTTTACAGTTGGATTGCTGGCCCTGGCCCAGTCTAAGTTGTCGTTGGAGTTAAACTCATCGTACTTGGGCTTGTTGGATTTTCTTCTCAAAACAAGACCTTTGCTTAAAACAAAAATCAACAACAGAAAAAAAAAATCACAAACACAAAAAATTGTATTTCTGCTTAAAAAAAAGTAAAGAAATCGATGCAATATTTATGTGTCTATAATTTTAGAAATAAAAAAAAAGATAAACCCTCATTTTAGACTGAAGTTAAAAATTTAATTCTTAAAAATAATAAACGTCAATCACTTTAGTCTGTGATGTAGAGATATTAAAAATAAGTAATTAATTATTGATTTGTTATATTAAGTAGTATGTAAATGTAAACTTCAAATGATATTTTTTCTTCTTTTTAAAACTCTAAATTAAACTTTGAAAAGAGGAGAAAAAAGTCAAAACAATATCGTTTTTTAATAGAAGGTGATGGTTGATAATACTTTAACATCAAAGAAGAAGATCTTTCTTCACTTTGATTTGCATGCATATTTATATTCTCAATTTCTACAAATGGATTTTTTAAAGTAGAGACTTTTTTTTTTTATTTATATTTTTTCCCCTTATTTTGATCATTTTGCTTCTCTAGCTTTAAAACATCTTTTGTAATGGTAGGGTTCAACACCACGTTGTGTTTTTGTTTGTAATGATTTTGCTCTATCCAAAACATCTCATTTGGACAATACTCTTTCTTTATCTTCTCTAAATCTATTTATATGAGCATAAATATAACTTGAATTGTGTTCATAAATAGAGTATAAAATCATGAGATTATGCAATTTTAACATTATATTCTACAACTATAAGAGAAACAATATCACCATTAGTATATTTAATAATGAGATTTTTGAAATTATGGAGCCAAACTATGTTGTCAGCAAAAAAGAAAAAGCATTAGAAGATATGAAAGAGTAATATTTTGAGATTTGAAATAACTTTATGAAAGAAGAAAATTATAAATAAAAGAAGAAGAAGATGCATTTAAGAGAGTAGTATTTGACCCCAAATAAGTAAAAGAAAATTTAAAAAAGATTGTCATTTGGGTGGGTAATGTAAAATTATTAATTATCAGTTTTAGAGACTAAAATTTTAAAATTTAAATTTAAAAAACTTATTTAACCAATCTTTACATATTTTAAAGAATAAAGTGAATTTTACTAAAAAAAATGATAAAAAAACTTATGAGTATGGAGTAGTATTACCCAATTTAATTTTAAGGTAAATTAACAAGATGTTTAAAGATAAACGTAAATATGAAATATTTACCTGGGTTGAGTTTGGGTCCATAGCTTTTGAGGGTGTTTTAAAGATAAACGTAAATATGATGGAAGGAAGTGGGGACTGAAGTGAAGTGAGAAGTGATCGGTTACCACTGAGGAGGAGCAGCGGCACATAAGTGTGGATTATTGAAAGGGGATCTTGATTTGAATGTGGAAGAAGTTGGAGTTGTGATTAGATTAGGGTTTACAGAGAGAGAGAGAGAGAGGAAGGAATGGATGAATCGTTCCTTGTAATGCTATTGAATTTCCTACACCTACACAACTCCCTCGACCCCACAACCTCCCTCCTCTCCGACGCATTCTCAACAACAGCCACCGCATCCCCCTCCTCCGCCACCTCCCCAACCTCCCTCCTCTACTCCTCCTCCGTCGCCCCACTCCTCTTCTTCACAATCGCCTCCGTCCTCTCCTACGTAGCATCCACCCGCCCCTCTTCCTCATCATCAACCAACACCACCACCCCTCCGCCTCACCCCAACGCCTCCGACTACTCCGTCTCGGCCTTCCGCGCCCTCTCCACGGAACACATATGGTCCCTCGAAGCACCCCTACGGGACGCCCACTGGCGATCCCTCTACGGCCTCTCCTACCCAGTCTTCACAACCGTCGTCGACAAACTCAAACCCCACATCGCCCTGTCCAACCTCTCCCTCCCCTCCGACTACGCCGTCGCCATGGTCCTCTCTCGCCTCGCCCACGGCCTCTCCGCCAAAACCATCGCCTCTCGCTACTCCCTCGACCCTTACCTCGTCTCCAAAATCACTAACATGGTCACGCGCCTACTCGCCACCAAACTCTACCCCGAATTCATCAAAATCCCCGTGGGTCGCCGCCGCCTCGTCGAAACCACCCAAGCCTTCGAAGAACTCACCTCTCTCCCCAACATGTGCGGCGCCATCGACGCCACCCCCGTCAAGCTCCGTTCCACTCCTAACCCTAACCCTAACACCTACCGTTGCCGCTACGGCTACCCCTCCGTCCTCCTCCAGGTCGTTTCCGACCACAAGAAGATCTTCTGGGACGTCTGCGTGAAGGCTCCCGGCGGCACCGACGACGCTACTCATTTCAGGGACAGTCTCCTCTACCACCGCCTCACTTCCGGCGACGTGGTTTGGGATAAGGTTATCAACGTTCGGAGCCACCCTGTTCGGCCTTACGTGGTTGGGGACTGGTGTTTCCCTCTGTTGCCGTTTTTGCTGACGCCGTTTTCTCCCAGTGGGATGGGCACGCCCGCGCAGAACCTGTTCGATGGAATGCTTATGAAGGGAAGGTCGGTGGTGGTGGAAGCCATTTCGTTGCTGAAAGGAAGGTGGAAAATCCTTCAGAATCTGAACGTGGGGATCCATCACGCCCCCCAAACCATCGTGGCTTGTTGTGTTTTGCATAATCTGTGTCAGATTGCGAGGGAACCCGAACCCGAGCTTTGGAAGGAGCCTGATGAGAGTGGACCTCAACCCAGAGTGCTGGACACCGAGAAATCTTTTTATTACTTTGGAGAAAGCTTGAGGCAAGCCCTCGCTGATGATTTACACCAAAAGCTTTCTTCCAGATAGTACTTTCTTAATTCCTTTGCTATACTGGAAAGGGTTGGTGAAACTGACACAACCACCTCGTATTGTAGACTCTGTTTTATCAGGATAATATTAGTTTTCAATAATTTCTTAGCTTCTAACATTGTATTTACATGAAATGTTTCGGACTAGTTTTACTCTTTCTGATGCCTGTTCTTTAATGTTCTCGAAGGTAGGTTATGAGTTAACAAGTACTTACTGTTCTCGTGTTATTGTGAATGGAAAATCTGCAGCCCCTTTAGTAGCAGCATTACAATTCAATTGACTACTGCTTCAATGTTCTGTTAAAAGCATCGCTGCATATTTCACAACATTTGAAAAGGATTAGACAATTTTTTAATCTAAACTTAGGAGTTGTGTAGTTTGCTTTTTGATATGCAGCATCTGAGATGAAATCTATTAGCAGCTTAACAAAATTATGGACTGCTGCCTCAATGTTTACACGTTCCAATGTAATATTCATCTGATGCTCGCTTCAGTCTGGCTCCATATAGCCATTGGTTAGGAATATTAGCGGCATTTGTTGGCTGTGCAAACTATATAAGTTTTGAGGTGTTTTGGTTTTCATATGTATTTTTTTCATCAATAAGATACCATTCTTCATACTCTTTCAGTTCAGACGCAGTAAGTTCTACAAACTGGTACGGAAGCGAAAGGAAAACTAAAGGGAAAAGATAGTTCTAATAATAAAAATAAAACAAACACTGTTTTGAGCATATAAGTAAAGGAAAAATGGAAGTGGTTAGAATCAATGAGAGTTTCTGATTATATAGTCTAACATTTAAATCTTCTCGAGCTATTAATTAACAGCGCAATACTATACTTAAAAAATATATATATAAACTCATAAAATTATTTATTATTTGGAAGAAGGTATTAACGTTTTTATTTCTCGTATTTTTTATATCTTAACATTATATTCTAATAAGTAACACGAAAAAATTCAAATTCTATACACATTTCTAGTACAATTACAATCACGGAACCGCAACTCAGATTCGGTCAGGGTAACCAGAACTGTGTTTTTGAAAACCCGATTCTACCTAGGTAGTGGTAATGCTCAAGCTGGTGAGATCCGAGCGAAATCTTCTTGGAATTTAAAAACTATAACAAAGACGGGATCCGAATCACAAGCATGCAGAGCATGCACCATCTGCATCTTTGAGAATCGTGACCGAATAAAGACGTTATACCAACGATTAATCTTGCTTTACTATAAGTGTGACTAATTACAGAAATGCATATAGATGCTAGCTAACATCAAAGAACCTTGTAACATAAAATAAATTAAAAAACAAATATGGACTTCTTTGGTCTCTACTTTCTAGCAGCCAAATCCGCAATCAATCTCCACCAAATCGTTGTCATTGAGGAAAAGAAATTGATTGCAAAGTGTAAATTTCACACGCACCCACACACGAGTAAAAATTATAAGACTCGCAATCGCAAATGTAACGTGTATACAAAAGCATTCGTTAATACAGTGACAGGAAATTATTACCACCCATCGAGGCAAAGCTAATTCTAAATCTACAATTCATATCTTAATTCTTAACCCAAAGATCTGTAGACTATTTTACAATTTGTGCGCCTTCAAAAGAATCAGAGTTACATTTCATTATGAAACTGTACTGTAATGGGTTGTGCTTGCAAGAGCTTCAGATATTAAGGAGACAATCAACAGTTGCTGCACACAAGATAGAAATTCAAATATGGTTGAGAAAATTCAGCATATCCACGGCGGCTTTGCTTTACATTTTTATTGAACCTTTGCGAGGCTTCGGCTAGATACACCATGTAATAATTTGACAAATCCAAGAAAGCTTAACTTCCCATCAGTGTGGCGTATCCAATCATGAAGAACAACGTGAACAGGGATTGAAGGTCCAAGTCCAAGTTCCTAAAATAACGTTTTGAAGAAATATGATTTTGATTAGCCATATACTCATGAATCAAATGAACTAATAATTACAAATGCCTATGAATTCCTAAGATTAACAAATCACATCGCATGCAGTATATTCTTGAAGATCCAGTATTACTGCTGAGTAGCAGGTAAGTGCACATTCTTTCGGAGTTTAGATCTTATCCACATGAAGTGACAGAAATCACTAAAGTATATGTGCATTAGATTAAGCAAGAGATGTTATATGGTGCGGTTACTCTATTGTGTTTGGAAGTCCTTTGGGGCATTTGGTCGTAAGAGGCCTAGTATGGGAAAAGATTATGTTTGTTGTCTGGTCTCTTTGTGGCACTTCGACAATGGTTCTTATAGAGATTGGGCAGCTTTGCTAAACATTTTTGTTTCTTTGTTTCATTACTTTTCCTGCTAAGGACGATTTCTTATCCTATTTTCCTGGTACTTCCTCTACTTTCTGATAAATTTGCTTCACTGACCCCTCCCTCCTCCCTCCATGCGCCCCCCCCCCCCCCCCCCCAACACAGAAATAAAAAAGCTAGATTAAAACTTATGATCATTTAGTGCATTTGGTTCAGTTATTTTGAAGAAATTATTAATTTTACTAGCATTGAATTGTTCTTGAAAACTGTTTCATTATTTCCCTTGAAATTAGCTCATCCAAATGTGCTGTTATACACATGCTCATGCAAAACTCTCAGTTCTGAATGTGACATTAAATAAGAAAAAATTACTATGGATGAAGTCTTTTCAACTTACCGAAGCAAGTTCTTCAATGACAATAGCCCTGTTTCCATCTTTCTCAAAAAGTTCATATGCACATCGGGCATGTTGCTCCCATCGATCAAGGGCTTCAAGCTGATGTACACTTAATGCAGCTGCACAAAATTCTTCAAAATCCATCCTTCTATATTGTAATGAATTAAGCTGTTGCAAAAAGGGAAATGGACGGATCGTATGAGACAGTAACAAGTCATATTAACAAATATCTACATACACGGAACAAGGTATTATTACCGAGGAAAGAAAGTCAGGGATGCGAGACTCTTTCATGGCATCTGTTGCATGTTTCATCAAGGCCTGCCAAGAAAATACAAATTAGAAAAACTTGTAGCATCCAACAAAATGACAAATCTCATACATGTTGATGTAGCAACCAACCTTGGTAACATTCTCTAGAGATATGCTGCCATTTTTGCTTGGTTCTAGCAGTGCAAATTGCTCCCTCAGATAAAACAGTTCATCAGCTGTCAATGTCTTTGACAAGGCCTGCCAAAGAGACAAATATAAATTAACCAATACGATGAAAACTAAAAAGGTAATTTTAAGTATGAATTACATTCTAGGGTATCTAGGAAGTAATAGACTGGTGTCAGAACTTTCAATTCACTAGCAGCATGCATTCTTATAAGTTAGCTTGAAATATACAATGCAGCTACAAGAATATACAACTTTTTGTTTGGATGCCAATATTTTTAAGGAATATCAATCCCACAAGTTTACTGGAGGAAAATGAATAGAAAATACTTGTGGTCTGAAGATTATATATCCTTGCAAAAGAAACCCCAACTGAAGTTGAAATACTACATTCCCACAGGAAGCAAAGCAACCACAGGAAACTGATCCAATTTTTCTTTCAACAATAATATACGCACCCTTAAGGCAGCCTTGCGCAAGGATGATGATCTCATATAAACCTTCATGAGCTTAAATATTAAAATATCAAGTGGAACTTTTACATTATTGTAATTCCGTATCCATGGATGACCTGCATGCAGAAGATTATTGCAGGCATTTTAAAAAATGTCTTACAGGTAAATAGTTGATGCAATAGATAAAAAAAAAAAAAAAGAACTCACTTAGAGCCTGAGCAGCAGATATTCGCTTCCGTGGGTCCTTGTTCAACAAGCGTTTGACAAAATCTCTCGCTTCTGAAGATAAAGATGGCCATGGAGCTTCATCAAAGCTGGGATCAGCTTTCAAAACTGCCCTAAAAATACCAGACTCTGTTCGCGCCCAAAATGGGCGACTACCACATAATAGAATATATGCTATCACTCCTATACTCCATACGTCAGCCTCTGTGCTGTAAGATCTATGGAGTACTTCAGGGGCCACATAGTATGCACTTCCAACAATGTCATTAAGCCTTTCATCTGTAAGACATGATATAAGAAATAAGGATACTGCTAAACTCTCATGAGGCAAAATATACTACTACCAACTACCAAGTAAGGACTTGCAAAGGAAAACCTGGTCTGACAAAATCTGATAATCCAAAATCAATAGCTTTCAACTCAGAACTTTCATCCTTTGTAGTATACAAAAAGTTCTGAAAGGAAAAAAGCAAGGGGATTAGACAATATGCAATGATATCAAATCCATATCCAATGATTCAATTTAACATTGAATGTACTAGTTATGCATCATTTATAATCTGGCAAAACATTTTTTTCATGGAACTTTCTCTTCTATTATTTACTTATTTTTTAAATCCTAAAACCTAAATTGAATAAGCTAGCTCACATACTCATGGATTATATTGATCTACATACTGCAACTGAATGATGTTTGAAAAAATAAAATAAAAAATCAAACAAAACCGTTAAAAGGAAACAGAAAGACAAAATTAAACACTATCCAGAAATTCCAAAATCCAGTCAGCTAAGACAACCTAGTCTACCTGAAAATATAGCAGATTCAAAGGGTTTAACAATATGAAACAAATGTAAAGAAATATACTCACCTCTGGCTTAAGATCTCGGTGCACCACACCCTGAAGATGACAAAATGCAACGACATTTAGTATCTGTACCATGACAGCCTTTGCATCATCTTCAGAGTATTTCCCTCCTCTGAAGAAGAAATAAACCATATCGTTAGTTAGTGGTTCAATAGGTCAATTTATTATATGAAAAAGTGGTACTGCTGATGTCTTATGAATTACCTTGATAGTATCATATCTAAGAGCTCCCCACCTTCACATAACCTGAAATTTCAATATGATCGAGCTAATTACAAAAATGTTAAAAAAGCAAGAAAAAAAAATCTCATAAGCAATGGGCATTCTAACAGCCAAAAATAAATAAATTATAACCTAATACATCATACCAGTGTCAATAAAAAAATAGTATCTAAGGTTACAATAAATATTTTATTAGAAAAATAAAAAGTTTACTTATTATTAAAGTTTCACTTGGATGACCAGAGCACTGCTACCATATAATTTGAGGAAACAAATATCCCAAACTTACTCCATCACAATGTAGACATTATCTTGATCTTCAAATGCTTCATAGAACTGTACCAGATTGCTGTGTCCATTCAAAGCCCGCAAAATTTTTACCTCCCTTCTCACATCTTCAATCGCAATTGCTGTTGTCATCTGGAAACAAAGGGGAGAAGATGGAAACATAATTCTAATCTTCATCATTCAATGTGTCATATATATATAATCCCTGATGTAAAATTTAAAATTTGGTGCAAAGAAACTAAAATAAAATAACACCATGTGTGATAAAAGTCGTATGGGCAAAGGAAAAGTCCAACTTTTAGACATAAAGAACAACATCATCCATGGCAATTTTTCTCAATAACATTCCAAAAGTTTAATCAACATTTAGCAAACCAATAGAATGGTTACTCCATTTTCACCACCAAAAGACTGATAAACAAATGCTCCTACACTGACACTCCTTGAACTATACCCAAACTACCCACTCAAATAACCCTAAACAGCCAATCCTTACATATGAAGCACCAAAACAACATAAAAGCTCAAGCTTTGTCTAGAAAACGACCCAAATGAGTTGGAACTCCAAGCCAAATGCAACATTGCCGTGGGTAACAACTAACAAGTGATGCAGTGTGAGCAAATGTGTTAAGATACAAGTACAAGGTACAAGAGGAACTAATTAAGTTTAAGATTAACTAACCTTTGCTTTTGGGATAACCTTAACAGCCACTTGTTGACCCTTAAGTTCACCCTTCTTGAACCTAGCAGAACAAGTATACCCAAAATGTCCTCGACCCACTTCTTCCCCAACCTCTAACCTACTACTGAACTCTTTCGAGAACCCAAACCTCTTATCCAAATCCGCCGCATCACCACCACCCTCCTCCTCCGCCTCCTCCGGTATCGCTGCCGCAGCCTTCTTTCCCTGCCTCCTCGCCAGCACCGCCCTTATGTGCTTCGCCGGCGACGGCGGCGGAAAGGGTCGCCGGAAAAACCTTCTTGGCGTCGAGCTAGCGCTCCTGCTCCCTCCCGCCGGCGCCGGAGACTTCTTCAGGAAGTGAGCGGGGCTGGGGCTATAGAACGGGAAGAAAGGCGACTGTTTCCCGGCGATGACGTCATCTTTCCGGCGAGTGTTGTTGGCGTGGGGACTTAGTGGGGTTTTCGGGACCTGTGTTGGGTCGGCTTCGGTTTCTCGAAGCGCGTAAGGGTTCGGCTTCTGCGGCTTCGAAGTGCAAACCCCCATTGTTGAACGATCACAGAAGCTGCGTTACTGAATCATTGGTGATGCCATTGTGTGGGAATTTTTTGTGGGTGTTGTTCTTTTCTGCAAAAGATTCGAACTTTAAAGCGAGTTTTAAAAGGGGTGGAAGCTATGGGAGAGGTGGATTTGTTGGGGTAGAAGGTGGGAGAAGAAGCAGAAGAAGGGTAATCTCAAGGGACACGTGGCATGCACGTGAGCATTGGTTTTTGGGTGTTCATTGAATTGGGAAGTGAAGGTCTGAAATTGAATTACGAGGAGGATGATAATGAGAAGAGTGAAGCTTAGGTGGGAAGATGGCAAAGGGGGATTGTATTGTTTGTTGCCACAGGTTTGGAATTGGCTACATGTTGTTCCCCCTTTTTGACTGATCACCAACACTGCCGTACCAAGAGAAATATACCACTGGTATAGAAATTAAAATATATTAATAAGATAAGTTGTTATTGTCATAATTAATGCATGAGGCAAAGACAACAAAAACTGAAAAACAAACTAAAAAGGACCATTTATCATTATTAATATGTGTATATTGAATTGAATGGTTAAGAATTAATGAATATGAGAGCGAAATATAAATAATTAAAGATTAAGTTAATCATTAAATAATACTTTTTATTAAAAATTATATTTAATTTTTAATCAATTGATATTTTCAACAATTAATTAAGAGAAAGAACTTTTATTTTCTTTTATATTTGCTTTTTATGGATATATACTTGACTTAAGCAAAAATACCTTATTTATTCTTTCCTTCGTTAACACCACTTATCATTGTTAGCTTGAAGTAACTAAAGTCCTATTTAAAAGAGTTTTGATATATTCTTGACTTTATTAACCACTTATTATAAATAGGTTGGGCATACTTCATCCCTGCTTGTTTGGCTTAAATTAGAAAATCGGGCCAAATTCTATGTCCTTCTTCCCAACTGTCAAGTGAACAATAGGGACAGATTTTAAATATCATTTTATATGATGATTGGTTTAAGCATAAATTAGAGACACAGAAATGACACGTATCACTTTTTGTAAAGCATTTTTACTTATTATTAAACCAATAAAGACAGAGAAAGAAGATATGCTGTCAAAATATATTAAAAAAAGGTCACCTATGTGGTATCTGTTTCGGTTGTTTCTGTAAGAGGAACACAGCTCATATATACATTTGGCTAATACGCAAATTGAATGTAGTTTGAAATATATAATAATATTTGATTTGGCTTCTTTACCTTGGGAGTTTTAATTAAAATTTCATATCATCAATAGAGTCTAAGATCTGTTCTTGTCTTGGGACTCAGATACGGATCCGGTACATGGAAATAACTTGATTTGCGAGTGCCATATGATTTGTCTTTCACATGCAACCAATTTAAGCTATCGAGTTAACAATGCACGTAAGACAATTTTATAAACCTGGAGGTTCTCACCCATGCATGGCCAACTTAGTTCTCAGCAGCCACAGGGAGTAATTAACAAGCAATCTTTTGTATCCCATTCGGTAATGTAAAGGGTAACCAAATAGCTTTGAAAACAAAAGAGGGAAGGATATGATTAAATTACTTTAAAATATTCCTTTTCCTTATTGAAAAAAATTCACATATACGATAAATAGGTCTGCAAAAATAGTACACAATAGTTTATACGGATTCATCATCAAATCCAAGAAATACATCCACACTTTGATTCACAATTAAGAATTTCATTAAGTATTCTTTTAAATAAATATGAAATATTTTAATTTTTTGTTTTAATACCTTTACAGAGTAACTCGTAAGAATTAATTTTTTAAAGAAAAATATACATAAAAAGAATTAAAAAAAAAATGATTACGTGATGTAGTTTTTGAATTTCTTTTATATATTTTTTTCTCCATGGACATGTCTTCTTTTTATAGATATTTAAGAAAGATATTCATTAAACAAGTCATTTGTTCGTTAGACATCAAATAATTTTTTTTCACTCTTAAGTTAATACAGTTCAATTATATTTTTTTAATTTTTAATAAATTTTAAGCACTAATTTGAAATATGATTAAAAAAATATGTTAGAGAATATACTCATAATATGCTCTAAAAACATAAAACGGAAAATATTTTAATATGAATTCAACGAATAACTTGGATCACAACAAATGTTTTGCAAAATTTTAAATAAAGTCAATACTTATATCAATTATGTCATGACACTGATTTCAATTGACTACTTACAAACTAATGTTAATTTAATAAGACTTCGTTTTCTTTATATGGCTGGTATTTGTGGTTCTGTTACGTTTTAGTTTATGTGAAATATACCGTAATTAAATTTAATTCAAACATGACATACGTAATGCGTCTTTTTATTTTAACATTTTGACATTAAAGTAGTGTTTAATATCAGAAAATTTTGACTCCTAATCGAATCACTTTTCTAATAATGAGATTTTTAAGAATACGATTCATAGAAAGTTTTATAAATTTAGTTTGATCATTATTTATTTAGTGCTTTGCTATGATACTTTAAATTTGAGGAATATTCTCTTTAGATTATATTAAAATATTAAAGAATATTTATATCATTTTTAAATATATCACTAATTTTATTACTAAAATTAATGGCTACGATTGTTTTACATGTACAAAAACAGAAAATATGTCCTACTTTTTAAGATATGTAAAATTTATCTATTTAATTTATCCTAAAAATAATAAATTTATGTTGAATTCACGTTATGATGATTAATAACTTTATAGTTAATTATCACATAAAAAGTTTATTAATTCTCACCTATTAAGATTGGAAGTTTTTTTTCCCACTTATTTATAAACTTGAGAATTATTTCTTGTGCTAAACACTACTTTAATTATTGAAAAAATAAATATAATGTATATGAACCACATATTATTTAACTGAGTCAAATTCATCATGAACAAGTCTGATGGAATGTATTAGAAGAAAAAACAATCACAATCCGAAACCCATTATTTTGATGAAAGGGTCGAATTACACAATATGTACTTAAAACCGACCAACAGATAAAGCCCCTCTTGAAGCAGGGAAATACATGAACATGAATGTATCCGTACTGATATTGAATAACGTTTTTACAATGTTATAACATCATTATGAATAGGATAGTTCTTACTTACGTTTTGTAAAGAGGATTATTTAATAAGAGGTGGCACTACAAAGAGACATGGGGAACAAGGATACGGGGATTTGTTCAGTGGCATGAGATACGTTTCCTTTTCTTATCGAAAATGGTACATTGGATGATTGGAACCTCAATGGCTGGATTACCATATGTAAGCTTAGAGCAAATCCCCATGTTCTTAGGATAGCAAAAATGCCATTTTTATTATATTAAAAAACTGTGGATGCATTAGCTGAAATTGGGTATAATTAGTTACCATCAAAGTCTGTACACTATTAATCTTGTGTTGGACCGATATTAGTCTCTTTAAAACATGCCCTTTTAAAAAATAGTATATTATACTTTTAATTTATATTGAACTTTACTTTCATGTCAATTGAGTCACTTTAAAATTATTATTAACGCTGAAGAAGGATAAATATGAAAAATATTAGTTATTTCTAAAATTTTGTAAGTTGTCTTATATCAATAAGATTGTCATAATCTGTTTAAATTATTCAAAATTTGAAAAATACATTTGGAAAGGAAAAAGGGAGATATGTTAAAGAATTAACAAACTAATTCTTTCAGTTTAAATTTTGAGTCACATTTATAAAAAAAATGTATCTTTTTCATTTGAAGAATTTAAAATATTAAAGCTTTTTTATTAGCAAAAAAATATTAAAGTTTTTTAATTTTTAATATCTCCATAAAATATGAAAAACTTATCGAAGTGACCCTATCTTTGTGTTTTCAAAATTGAATTATTTAAAATATTTTACCTTTTTTAGAATTTTTAATTTTTTATATCTCTAAATATATTGGAGATTAATATTTCATGATACATTTAGGATTCACAAAGTGAAACATTATTTTTCTATACATGAAAGGGTTAAAATTTTAATTAACAAAATATTTTGAAAATTCAAGTTTTTTTTTTATTTGTTTAAGTTCAAATACTATGAGGTGTTTTCAAAATGTTCAAACACAAAATATTAAATAGCGATCCCATACCTGTAAAATAAATTAAGTCTTATTCCACTTTACCAACCCTTAATTATATTCAAGTGTCTTTTACATGTATAATTTGTATCTTTTACCTATTTTATTTATTATTTTGACGTATAATATATCATTATTTCTCTCTTTTATATGAATATATAATTGAGGAAATAATAATTAATTTTATTTTAAAATTTTCAGATAATTGATAAATACAAAGAAACTTTTCTTTAGAAGTAATAAAAGAAAAAGGAAATGGAAATAATAGTTTATTAACACTATCGACCATTAGATGATTAATTGCATTCCATGTAATCCTTTCTAGAACTCTACGGTTCATGATAGTTGGTGTTAGTGCAAAACTCTCTCGAGCTTAGGTTGTCGGAATAATTTAAACGTTAGATTTAAGGTTCCACTCCCATCTGATGATCTGATTCGGAAACAGGGTACACCTCAATTACTAGGAAAAATGACTACGGGTATGGTAGGTAATAAGGGAAATTGCAAATATTCATGTCATCATCAACACTTGTCTGTTCTGGCAAGTGTGGTGGATTGAACCCTTATCCACTATTAAAAAGTCACAAGTGCAGCCATCAACCATAGTACTCGTGTATGACCTTAAAGAATAAAATCCACTGAAACCTGGCTAAGATTTATTCTAGAAAGAAAATGACTTTTGCCAGAGACCACAAGGAGTTCATAATTATTCCACTGCCATAGAATAATGATATTTAGTAATAGAGACCCTTATAATAGCTAAGTTGTTGCTCTTTCATGAAAGCTTCATGACATCTCACACACGAGTTGAGACAATCAGAGATGCAGTTTCTCTTTGATCTTCTGGTAGGTTGAGCAATGAGCAGAGATCATTTTACCCCATTTCCCCTTTTTCCTCTCTAATTCTATCTAACACACTTTTCTGCTTCTTAAAGAGTCACCAAAATTATTCCTCCCAACAAGCGAGAAAAAAAAATATTCATAAATTCTTTGGTACGTTTAGGTACTATTTCAAATCAATAATTAATGTGTAACGATATCTTTTGAAAGTAGATATATCTTTAACATGATTTAAATCAATATATTCATCTCAAAGAAATTAATAAAGTTATGATATTATATTAATTTTATATTTATCTTGTTATACATAAAATATTATTATTTCATGAAATAACTTCAACAAATTCATTTTAAATTAGTTATAATTTAAACACATACAATACTTTAAGGCAACATTTATACTTAATTTCTCGTGAAAAATTTGACAATTTGGAAATATCTTTTTCC